AAATATCCAGAATCTTTTCTATAAATTATTAATTGAAATATTAAATTGATCTTTTTTTTAGATAATGTAAAAGAAAGGGTAGTCTCATTTCTAAGTTCTTTACGTAAGGATGGCTTGGTTCCAGCTGCAGCATTTTCTGATAGTTTTAGACAATTATTTATGTCTGTATCAGACAAAGAAGAAAAATCCCATTTACCAGTTGCAAAAATTTTGTCTAATACAATCACATCTAAGCTGATGACATTCACAGATTTATCATCACTTGCTGAAAATGGCCAATGTTATCCATTGTTCTTGATAGTCCTCGAGTGTTTAGTTAAACTTTTGGATAAAAATGCCGTTAAAGAAATGCTGAACTCTAGCAAGGTTGGTAATATTATTTTACTAGATTTGATTTATGAGTAATCATCATCAATAATTCATTCATATTTAACTTTAGGTACAACTTTGATATTATGTCTACCAATAATTGTTAATTTTTGATTAACTTAAAATGTTATATTCTTGTATATTAACTTATACATTTGTCAACTTTGTTCATATAAATTATATTCAGTTTTACAACTTTAGTATAATGTATCAAAATGTCAAATAATTCATAATTTTTAATTAATTTAAATTATTTTCTGGTATCAGATCAATTTAATGTCAATGCTGCCGGAAGCTGATAGAACACAAGATCGCTTAGCAGAAATTCTTGAAGATAGAGGCCTGAGTTTTCTTTATCCTCTGCTTAGAGTGCGTGCCGAGTTATGGAAACAATTACAAGCAGATCCAAATCCACAACAATTCTATAAATGGATTAAAGATAATCTTGAAACCAGCTGTCACACTGATCCAGCATTTGTATATGAATTTGTAACTGTGCTGCTAAAATACATAACGCAGGTCAGTAATCCAGGACAAGTTATAAGTACATTTTTACATACAATGATGTTTTTATTATTCTAATAGATCCTATTGAGTACTCTTTTTATGAAACAAACTTTATCTGAGTTTATCTTTAAATTTAGTAGATACTTACACATATTGCCAAATTTTTAATTAAAATGCACAATGTATTTTAGGAAAGCACTTTGGCAGATGGTGTGGATGCAACAGTTTTACCCCCAAAAGCACTTCAAGAGAAAGAAAAAACTTTACTGGAGCGTTTCCAAATTGTCTTGCAAGCATTCCTTAATGGCCGAACTGATTTACAACTAACTGCTGTGTATGCATTGCAAGTGTATTGCTTTACTCACAATTTTCCTAAAGGTGAGAATAACTATAAATGATAAACTAAATAAAAAAATATATTTGCATGTTACTAAAGATATGAGTGAGCATTTTACAATCTTTAAGGCTTGGTCTAGGATTTAAAAAAAATGCTTTTTTTTTTTTTAATGTTATCAAAGTTTAATTTTCAAGTATGTGTATAAGATTTATCAAAATTTCAATTATTTTCTGTGATATAGCTGTTTAATCATGATAATCCTCCTCTGCCTATGCCTAACTTTAAATGCGTTCTATTATCTCTAAATTGTTTTTGTTAATACGATAGCCACAAGTATTCAACTTCTATTAGACCAATTTATTTGAAATTTTTGCAGTCTTCTTTAATAGGAACTATCAATCCACACATTTCGATTTTTACTATATTTAAATACTTTGTGATCATCAAAAAAATTTAACAATCTTTTTATTCGCGCCATTTCGAGAAAACAAATAATTTAACTTATCTTATCGTTCATATGATTGCAAATTTATTTTAAGTTAATAATGTAGAAGCATATTTTTCTTCAGATTATTTGATGGGCTAAAATCATGGGGTATGGTCAGAGACCAATTTTTTGTAAAGCACCAATTCATCACCTTCTATAATTAAACTATTTTTAATTTTTTTTATATTACACCTCATTAATTAATAACTTGTAAAAATAAAATAGATTACTATTAGCCTTTTTATGGAGTCCTTACAAAAATATAAAATTTGTGGCCTAAAATTCAAAGAAACAATTATTTGATCAATTGTTAACAATTATTTCAATTATTTTTAAGAACACTAGTTTCACAAATGCCCATTATAAATTATTATTTATTTATGATGCATATATCATGCTTACATTAGTAATTATCAATATTAATTGATTCATGTAACTTCGATAAAACGATTTTTTTCTATTGCACATATCATGCTTGCTAAGTATTTGTAGAATGTTTATTTACAATATACTTTCGGTACATTTTTAAGTTTCTTAATTATCTTATTTGTCATTGAGAGCATTTTAAAATCACAACACTGATAATTATTTATATTTTTTTATTCATGTATATGATTTTGTTCTAGGCATGCTCTTGCGCTTTTTCGTAAACCTTTATGATCTGGAAGTAATTGAAGAAGATGCTTTTGTACAATGGAAAGAGGATGTCACAGAAGCTTATCCTGGCAAAGGGCAAGCACTATTCCAAGTATTCCAGTGGCTGATGTGGTTGCAGGAAGCCGAATCTACTGATGAGGATGGAGAAGCTTAAGTGTGGAAATAAGAAACAAAAAAATATGAAAAAGTCTGATAAAAAAGGAATTGTAAGTTTAGGTCACCCTTCATATTGAACCAATATAAATGCTTAACATCATCCAATAAACGAATTATATATGGTTTTAATGAAGTCAGATGAAAGGATGAACAGCATATTATCTAGAAGAAAAACTAAAGTATGCTCGTCACACTTCGGAAAATACTAAGAATGTTTTATTGACTCGTACTTCAAAGATGATTAGAAAGATATGCAGAATATTAATATACAGATTAAAAGTTAAGTGAAGTTAACAAATGATATTGAAACCTTATAAATCGGGAAATTGACTGAATGAACTTATCAGTTCCAAAAAAATAACTTGCATATTGCTTAAATATTTGAAAATAGCATTTCTGACTATTGAAATAGTTGGCTAGTAATGTTTTGGCAATGCTATTTTCAAAATATATTTAGATTTCTGAAGATAAATCTGAAGAGCAATACAATATTATTCTTTAAGTAATTTTTTCTAAAATATAAATTTTACCATTGAATGGTGCTGCGCTATACTCTCATCATTGGTTGGTCTAGATTTGATTTTTTTTTTTTATAAAGTAGTACATAAAAAGTGTATAAATAAAAATGGCAACTGAAGTAAAAGAAACTTGTAACTGTGAATGTGTAAATTATATTTTTTGTTGTAAAAGTCGTCTATCCGTTGTTATTGTGATTTATAGTGAATTGGTTTTAAATACAGCTATGCTTCTTTAATGTTTGTAGATAAGTATTTGTAGAATGTTTATTTACAATATATTTTTGGTACATTTTTAAATTTCTTAATTATCTTATTTGTCATTGAGAGCATTTTAAAATCACAACTTAAAGTAAATTTTAAATCAAATTATAGTAGATTTTAATTCAAGTTTATAGTTATTAAATGTTTGTACACCTGTCAATCCATTAACTGTGCAGTATTATTATATTCATACATAAAAATATACAAAATTTCATAAATAAAATTTTATTTGGCTTAACAAAAATAATTTTTTTATACTGATGTCTCCTTCAAAGATCTAATATTATAATACAAGTTCTCATTATTAAGTTACTTATAAGGTTGTCATTGTAAAAAACTCATAGTTAATTAAATATTGAATCTATGTGAAATTGTCAGGAAATTGTTGCCTTTAGAATATCTGTGGCTCAAGTACTAATTTACAGTTGTTGATAAATCATAAATACTTGCTGCAAGTTTAAGTACTCCAACTCTTTGCTTTTGTGACTTGGTGTTGAATAGGTGAACAGTTACTAGACCTTCATTACAGTAATTTTTAATTTCTATTCAAAAAACACTGCCGTTAAAGAATGAATTCTCTGCTGTTAAAAAACTAATTTAGATCGTATGAGAAATTGAATACATTTTACGCATGCCAGTTGGTTTTTAATGGATGATTGCGTGAAATGATAAACAAACTAGTATTATACTTAACAATAAGCAAACTTCTGATAATATGAACCAAAATATATGTAGAATTATTTTTACAGCTATGTCATTAATCATTCTTTGGCAGATTTTATTTTGATTCTAATTCTTTGTCTATAGCAAATTGATGTCTATATTTTGAGAGTTATTTCAATATACATTGTTCTTAATCTGTGAATTATAATATTAAATGAAACGTAATCAAACTGTGCATATTACACATTACAAGTTGGGGATGGTTAAATTTTAACAATTTTATAAAGTATTTAAACTCATATTAATAAGTTCAGTTTTTATATACCAAAATTGGTGTATTTAATGTGGAGCTATTGAATGGGCAGATCAAAGCGTTTTAGAAGAAATCATTGTATATTTGATTTTATTATGTAGCATATGTAGATATGTACTAGCCTAATTTTTGATAGGCAAAATAGCATCTGATATAAATTTTAATATTTTAGTATTTGTGAAATCATGTGAATTTTATTTAAATTAATGTAGACAATTGAATACAACAGAATGCAGACTCAGCTTATGAATGAATGGTAAAATGTTTGCATGTTTTTTTATTGTATGTAGAAAATAATTCACATGCGCACACATCTCGTTTGCTTACTGTTTTGTTCATTTCATGTGATATACTATTCAAAAAAAAAAAAATCATATTCCATATTAAGTTTAACATAGTAGTCAATATTTATTATAGAAAATGGCCAATTAATCCATATATTATCATTGTTCTTATTGTACTGTGTAATCAACTCCATTAAAACATTCACTAAACCTCAATGCATTTTTAATTAATGTCTAGATGTACAACAGGTTTTAATAGAATTTATTTTATTTAATTATTTATATTCAGAACTGTGGTTATATAATGTTCGAACTAATGAGTCGTGCAAATTTATTGGAAGCGGTACAATCAATTTATTTTTCTAACCAACATAGGCACACAACCAATTTTGCCAAATTACAGTAATTTATTTGAAATTTGAATATGTCAATAAAACAGTTTCAACTATTAAAATTTAAAAAAGATTTTATTAGTTAATAGATTTTTCACTTGTGTTACAATGTTATATGTACAAAAGTAGTGAGTTTCCATGAATTTAAATATATCTATAAGTTATCTAGGAATTTATTTAGTTTGGAAGAGCGGTCAACAGCATTTCTGAAGCACTAAGGGAGCTGAAAAAGAATCAATAGTGAGACATTAACATATATACTGAAATTCTAAATATTTCACATAACCTACTCAGTCTTAAAATTGTGCACATGGCGATAAATGCAATTAAATTGTTTTTAACATTTTCTCGTACTTTTCGGCGCTCCTCTGTGGGATCACCCATTCCTGGACCACCAATTCGAAACATTCTTCTTGATTTTTAATAAATGCTAACGATTTGTCAAGCAAAGTAATTTTAAGATAAAACAAGATGAAAGTATTGACTGTCTGATGTTTTGTGAATGTATAGTTATTCTCATTTGGCAACATTAATAGTAGGAACTCTAGTCACCATAAAGCAAATTTTATACAATTCTAAGCAATTTGTAATTTCAGAGATATCATAAAAAATAATAATTCTAGAGTTATCGTAAGTTGCAATTATTGTGGAAATTTATTTGCAAATCAAATTCATATATATTCGAATCCAAAAAACACTTAATATTTTGTACAGTTAACCTGTTATAGTCATATAAATTTTAACAGCACACTAGTATTGAATAATTTAGGATAAAATATGCTATGAATTATTTAAATACTAAATAATATCAAGCAATAAAATGCTTTTTCTAGTTGTATTTATATACATATATGATTATATTCAAATTTGATTTATATATTTGAATTCAATTTTACCACCAACTCACCACTATGAACATAGGTAAATATACGAATTAGGTCGAATCTCGGAAATGTTGTTCTAAAATTAAGCGTTGGCAACACCATGATAAAAATATCAAACAAATATCGGGACAGATACGAAAAACATGGCTGAGGAACTCTCAGCTGCTTTGAATTGCAAAAGTGTTAAATTTGTACAACTCAAGCATTAATTTAATGTTATAACTAAAAAATATCACCAATAAACTGTTTAGTAGTTTGTCAACCTCAAATGTACGTATTTGTAAATAACGCAAAGCTTGTCAGTGTTCTTTAGTGTCAGTGCTCAAGGAATACGTAACAATTATTCACTTGCCGGGACACTGAAATTATTTTAACATTTGAGCTGTGTTTTGTGCCGTTTTAGTTAACTAATTTTTGACAAGTGTTCCCGATAAATCGACAAACTGGAGCGACTCCCAGAATATTTACGCGATACTGTTGATTGGTTTATGGGGTAAGTTTATTTGTTTTGTTTTATGTGAAAATTGGCAAACGATTGAGATAAAAATTTAATATTGTGCATGTATTTTAAACACACACATATAAGGTTAATATTGTGTGTTGTTTGTTAGTTTTGTTTATTTATGTACATCAACTTTCATTGTCATTATGAAAACAGGTTGTATGCGCTGTGTGTGAATTTTAGTCCTTCAATTACGTTTTTGGGAAGCAGAAATGTTCAAAAGAATCTTATCTTTTTATATTTCAAGTGTTTTATCATTATCATATCGATTATTTTATATGTTTCCCAAACTTTGCATCTCAAAGTGTAATATTTATTTCAACTACATAGTAAATGCTACAACAAAAATATAAGAGATATACATAAATAATTTATATCTATTTGAGTGATATTGATCAGTAATATACAATCCAAAATTGTTTGTTATTTATTTACATGATGATGTTTTTAACATAACTGATCATATGTTAGCAAATAAGTGGCAATGCATCACAACTGTCATAAATGTCAATTAATGTAATGAAAGCGATGAGATTTAGAAATCCCTTTTATTTTATTAATTAACTTGACATTATGCTCTATTTGTTCTGACAACGAGTCGAAATTATGTGATCTGTTAAGAAATATAGTCTCTTTTTCTTTAATAATTAAATTAAAACAAAATAATATATAACAGTAGTTAAGCTTGTGAAATTTGTATTAAATCTATTCTATTCTATTCTATTTCCCAACATGTGGGGCGCGAACCCTCAGGGGGGCACGAAATTGTTGCAATGGAGGCTTCCAAAATACTATTGCCAAAAAGATAAACCAAAAACGTTAAAAAGATTTATTTTTAACTTCCCGAAGGAGAAGTTTATGTTTTCATCAAAAAATCCGAATTGCTAATTTTATGTTTTCTGTTTCAAGGCCAGTGGCGTCGGAACGAAATTTTTGATGGGTGGGCTCTTTTTTTTTTTTTTTTTAGATAGACAGCCAGTGGTCTTTTTTTTTTTTTTTTTTTTTTTTTTTTTTTTAGAGATATTAGCCCATATAATTTTTTGAAATTGATGGGTGGGCTGAGCCCCCCCATTAAAATTCATGGGTGGGCTCAAGCCCACACAGCCCACACGGTTCCGACGCCACTGTTTCAAGCCATTCTGAATCGAATGAGACCAAATTTGGAAAAAGTATGTGTGTGTGTGTGTGCGTGTATGTGAACAGATTTTTTGCCGTAAATCGACGTTTTTTCGAAAACGGCTGGACCGATTTCAAAAATTTAAAAGCCACTCGATGTATCTCGATGAGGACTATTGTTTGTCAATTTTGTGCGACGATCGGCCAAGCCGTTCCTTCGTAAATAGCAGAAAAGTGAAAAGTTTTTCGTCCACGTTTTAGCCCGCAATTCTGAATCGATTTTGAAAATTCAAAAGAGATCGGCCGAGCCGTTTTCTTGTAATAAGGTATTAAAAAAAAATTTTCGTCGATTTTTATTATTATTTTTTTGACGATAGATACCATAGTCTTCTAGATCATACTAAAATATAACGGCCCTATGAGCACTCGTTTAGCTTTAAAAATTCGTCAAAGTTTACAAAAATTAGTATGGTCTTTTTGGCATTTGTCAAAATTAGAACTCAAAAACGCCTGAACCGATTTCAGAAATTTAAAAACCATTTGATGTATCTTGTTGAGGATTATCGTTTCTCAGTTTTGTGCGACGATCGGCCGAGCCGTTTCTTTGTAATTTGGAAAAAAAGTGTTAAACCTTTCGTCCACATTTAAGCTCATACTACCGAACCGATTTTAAAAATTCAAAAATTGTTCGAAAGATATTAGTTCGGATTTGGGAATGATACTGATTAGTTTTAGGTAAAAATCTACTGAGCCGTTTCTTGAAATTAACTGTTGAAAAAAAAATTTAAGCCGATTTTCATGGAACTTTTTTTGGCGACATATATCATGTTCTTATAGAACTTACTGAAATATTACGGCCTCACAAGTGGTTTAGTTTTAAAAATTCATTAAAGTTTGAAAAAATGAGTAGTTCTTTTGACATTTGTTAAAATTAAAATTAGACTATTTACTTGGGATAACGATAGAGTACTTGGTCTTATTGAACATACTAAACAATTAAAGTCCTACAAAAAACTGACTCAATTATAAAAATGATTGATTTTTGAAAATTTGCTTTTAGAAAATACTCCGAGTCAGTGTTCGTTCGTTTTCAATTATGTGTAATAAATCCACTCAGAATACTTTTAATGACTCATAAATTAAATCATTTTTTATTGATTAAGTCGATTATTTAAACATATCGGGAAATTCATGTAACTTGCCTCAAGGCTAAGTACCAAACCAACTAGTTTTTATTAGCACTAGAAGAATTAAAAAAAAAGTTAAACAAGATTCAGCAATTGTACGGTCAAGATAGTTTTCTTTATAAAGTATGGTCGGATGTTTAGCACTATTAATATTATTAGCATTAGTAAAATCAATAATATGTTCTGAGTTCCAACTCCGAAATTGTTGCAAGAGAGGCTGCTTCTAAAATAAGCCAAAAATGTTTGGAATATTGAACTGTTTCCAAAAAATAAATAAAAAACGTTGGAAAAATACAAAAAACTGAATGAATAATTTGTAAATAATATAATATCTAATTATATCAGTTGAGTATTTATAAAATTATAAATTATAAAATTATAAAATTATTTATAATATCAGTTGAGTATTTATAAAATTAGATTGTTAAAAAAATAAGGAGGGCGCAGCATTATTTTTTAAAAGAACGGGTTGGGGTCGGCGGTTGCGGTACGAAAAGGTTGGAGACCACTGAACTTATAATCTAATCTAACAAATAAACGTCTGTGATAAGACTAATTTTCATCATTATAGATTTGATATGTAAATTCTTACTTTTGCATATTACTTTCTTCTTGCCACTCGATTTATTATTTAAATATTTTGGGCATCATTTAAATAAAGAATTGTTAATAATACAAATAATTACTCTACACGAAGATTTGATGAAGTCATAACTATAAATAAAAGGAAATTGTGTACAATATAAAATTATTACTTATATATTTGAGCATGCTGAATATTCTCGCAGATTTCATATGAGTGTCATGTTTATTTTAATGATTGAAATCGACAAATTAAAATCATGAGATCGAAATAAATTCGAAATTTGTATCACAAAAATATATCCAAGAATGCTTGGGGATGGAAGTACTATTCTCGTGGTATCCTAAATTTCCTAAAAATCCTAAATTTTAGATAATAGCATTGAAAAACTTCACCAAAAACTCATTTCAAGATTAAAAACAAAGCCAAAGATACTTGCTTGTTAATTTAAAATTACATAATATTTTTATAATTTTTACGAAAGCTTAGTTCAATATACGAAATAGATATGAGACCTTTTCAAAAGCAATTCATTAGAAAATGTTAATAATATGTTTTATGTTATATATAATGTGTTTAAGAACATTTAATTTCAAAAATATCTAAAATTAGTATACTGAAAATTTGATATGCATTACGAAGTTATGCAATTATACTAGATGTGTGCCAGGTTTCTAGAATAGGTGGAAAATTGCGTTAAAGTATCATTATGTGATCTTGAACTTAGTTTAAACAATAAACTTTTATTTTTTGAGTTATAGTAAAACGAATCTTAAATTTCCTTAAATCAATAATCCTAAAAAATTACAAATACAAGCGGTAATCATATCGCACTGACTAAATTAATAAATATTGTAATATCTAATTAGACCTGAGGATTTACCATATAATTCATTATTACATATCGGTCGGGAAAAACCGTGGTAAATTCTTCTAATTTTTGTGGGTAGAAAGTATATTTTTAATTATTAAATAAACGATTTAAATTTTAGTTTTTTTTTTAACTCAAAAGGAAGCCATTTTCTTTCCATGCTTTTCGCCATAGGGTAATATTAACTTATACAAAATTATTTTGGGGTAATAATTAAAAAATGAATTAAGGTTCTGCTGCTAATATAGATCAACTAGTTTTAAATATAATAAAATACTTGTGGGG